ACTACTAACTACTAACTACTAACTACTAACTACTAACTACTAACTACTAACTACTAACTACTACTACTACTACCACGACTACTACTACTACTACTACCACGACTACTACTACTACTACTACTACTACGACTACCACGACTGCTACTACTACTACTACCACTACTACGACTACTACTACTACGACGACGACTACTACTACTACTACCACGACGACTACTACTACTACTACTACCACGACTACTACTACTACTACGACGACTACGACTACTAGTGGCCTCAAGGTGGTGTTTAGGTTTGATCAGATAGGACTGTTCGCTCATGGACTTGGGTGAGCTGAACCGTCCCGTCCGGCGGCTCACTCCACAAACTGCCTTAAATGACCTAAAATGTCAGCTGGAAGTTTTTACTTGTGAGACAGGTAGATCATGTCTTTCAAGACCTCCCAGTTGTGGCCTTGTGAATCAAGGAATCCACAGGCAGTGCAAGTCACCTTGACTGTGAAGCTTTTCATGTGTATATATACTTGGGATCCTTGTGCAACGGTCTACTGTTAGACTCTAGTTATCTTTAGTCGTCTAGTTGTCAGTTCTCCGTCCGTTCAGGCAAGGCTTCCTTGACCTACCCTTCCTGAAACAACAATCGTTGAAGTGGAAGATGGATGAACGTGGCCGGTTGGATGACCATGTTCCTCTAGAAACAGTGTGGACGACCCACTTCCATAGTTGTTTTTGGAGTGTAAAAGTTGTGGATTTGGTGGGATGCTTGCGTGTCCCGCAGTCGATGTCGGGGAAGTCTCCCACGCTCCTTCGGACGCCGCACCGGGTTTCGGAAGTGGTGGTGCCTTCGATTTCGGTGCCCAGCTGCGACATGAAGCTGAGTTTAGTACATAATGTATATATACATAACAGTGTCTCCCTATAGATATAGCTATAGATAGCTATAGGCTATAGTGTTTCCCTAGTTTCAAGTACCTCCGTTTCGAAGGTGTTCGGGGTGGTTCTAAGGACTTTCAAACCCACCTGAGATGTTTTCCCCAGGGATCCACAGACCTTCTCAGAAGGTTCTCGGACCCTCCAAACCTGCATTAAAGATCCGTAAAGTATCTCCAATCACCTTCTCAGGTTCGGTCTCTGGATCCATATAGGGTCTGCTTCAGCTCTTTGGAACCCTACGGTCAATGCCACAAGTCACAGCCTGCCACGGAGCCACCACAGCCACGGAACCTCCACGGTGGTCCAGGCTCCCATGCGCTCTCAACGGCCGTGCCGGTGAGACCAAGTCAATTCTCAACGTCCTGCGCGCGACCAAGCGCAACGTGCCCCGCGCGCGAGCAGAGTTTCCATACAGATTGCAATTAGTTCTGTTTGAATATGCTTTTCGGTGGTGGCTCCTAAGTAAGTGGGGAGGTAAATTTGTTTCTTAAAGGACCTCTATGGTCTCGATCCCAAGAGCTTTTCCTGGCATGTTGTTTTTTTCGTTCTTTGTTTGATCTGACAGTCGACATGAAGTGGGTCTTGGGTTTGGATTTGGTTTTGACAAAGTTTTTGAAAACCATGTCTTGCTTTGGCCCATTTTTTCGGGTTCGGAATCAATCCGTATCGATCCGATCCGAGCTCGAAAATGCCAAACACCTGTATTGAAGTGTTGTGTGGTGCAAAGTGGTGAACAAGAGTGGAGTTTTGCACCAAAAAAGGTCCACGGGTTTGTTGAACCAGCCGATTTACTCAGAAGAGGATGTGGGAAAGCACGATTGCTGTAGTAGTGTAGGAAGATTGAAGATATTTGAGGATTATCATGCTATACGCTTATGACTCAAACAACGTAAAACGTCGACATGTGTTTTTCAAGAAAAAGATCGTGCAAGGTTCGATTCCTCTCCCCACTGGAGACACCACCAGTTCATACCAGTTCCAAGTTCCTGGCAAAAAACATCAGATTTCTCCGCGACCCTGGAAAACAGTCTCGCTCCATGCGTGCCCATGCCGTGCATGGCTCATGGACCGAACGTCTCGGAGCTGTGTTCATGGGTAGAAGATCGATGAAACTCACGAAGCATGACGACTCTTGGGGAGGGAAAGTGTTCGAAATGGGTGGTAAAACATGGTAAAACCACATGGTCTCACTGGTCGAAAGGTGTTTTGGTTGGCGGCCATATTTTAGATAGACCTTAGATTTATAATGATTTATATACAGTACTTAGATGGTTTCTTTTGAGCCCGGCCTGCATCTTGAATGCCTGGGCTGGCCTGGCCTGCTCTGGGACCGAACTCTTTGGCCACTTTTGGCCGTCATTTTGTGGGGCCGAAGACTTGACATTTTATCAGTCGGATTGGAACCAGTCGACGTATGAGAACTAGAACTGGCTGGAAATCCTTCGTCGTCAGCGGGTTCGTTGTAGCGCAGATCAGAAGTCTTTCAGAGATTTGGCAGAATGAACTTGAATGAACCGCTTGACATCGGAGGTTTGCCAATGTTTGCATAAGTTTGCACATGTTTGGACTTCTGTTAACAGCTTAAGTCGTTGGAACAATTAGGGGCCTGATTCGATTCCTGAGAGCCTCTACATGGCTGGAGAACCGGGATGTTCACCGGGTTGGGCCCCTTTTGCAAGCGTCGATTCGGTGTGCCAGTTCTTGGTCCCGTTTCAAGTTTCGTGCAGCACGAGTGGGGAGCTTGAGATTTGCCACTGAAATCAACTGTTTTCTGAGAGGACCCTGGAGGCCAAGAAGGCAGTGAAGAGTGAGAGACAGAGTTTCACAAACTACAGCGAGATGATTGAAAAACACCAGGTGAACACTATCTTTGGGAGGGGGGTGATTGTAGACTCCCATCATCCTATTTTATACCTAGTTGAACAAAGAACATCAATCCCACTACCGTTTTGTTTGCATGTCCACAGGCGCAATGACAACAGGAACAAACTGGATGCCAACTTGAATGACATACCACAAAGGCCTGAAGCTCTCGGAAAAAGGATGGCAGACATGGCAAGCCAGCACCATGCGATGGCACAAGACAATGCCACTATCATTGGCACACCTTAGCTATCCAAGCAATGGCAAGTCACCATGACCACATCAAGCAACATCATATTTTGAGCACCATGCAAGACAACACTATGGAAAGCTCGAGTGCGGAGCAATGGTGGAACAATGTTGGGCCTGTGGGTGTGACAACACTAAGCTCCCCAGATCTTATACTGGTTGTAGACGAGCATTTCCATGTTCTAGGTACTAACAGCACCGTCTCCACAGAGCGAGACTCTTTGATCAGTTGGTGCGTGGCGAGAGGTGCACCGTGGACTATTTGGATCCCGAGAAACACCAAGAAGGACAGCGATGGCCTCCCCTGGAAGTTGGTACCCTCATATCCAACCGGAGTCATCAGTGCACAGATACTAATCATGGCTGGATATCAGAGAACTGAACCTGAAAGGTCAAGGGCACAATCTGCTCCTTCCTGCGAAGCAGCTGATGGATCGCACGAGACACTCGTTTCGCGCCCTATGCCAAATTAACCGGCCCGAACGCGCTGAGGGCATAGGGAGCGCAGAAGGAACGTGCTCCCATCCGAGCATTTCAAACAAATTAATGCTACACCACTTAACTTGTGCAACCACTTGACTTGTGCAGATGAGTGGCTCACTGGTTGCTGCCAAGTTGTCATCTAAATATGTGATGATCAAAATGTCTCGTTGAGATCATTTGTTGGATTGCAATGGACACGTTTGGAAGCATGTAGTCATGGGTTCCCACAAAGAATGAATCAATTGTGATTTTGCAATCGATTTGTCTTGGTGTCTTTGGTGAGATTTCTGACCATGCTCCATGGTGAGCCACTGTTGATGTGTGTGCTGCGTCCTGCTGGCCAAAGTGGCCAGCACGGGCACTCAGCGCACGCTCAGTTGTTTCAGGATCAGATCGGTCGCGGAAAGAGACCGCAGATGCGGTTGCGAGGTGCCATCTATGACAGCGTGTTCTTTTTCGGTGTTTTTTTGTTTAATCACCACCTTAGGCAAAAAACAGGGGGGACCATGGGGGCCTTTTTATTGTAACTTTATATTTTTTTTGGGGGGGGGTGATAAATGTAACCTCCCCCCAGTCCAGTTTCATAGCTTTTGCCGGGCAGATAGCAAAGGTATGGAAGGTAGCTGCACTTGTCTCTTCGAAAGCTTCAAAGTTACATTATGACCCCCTCCCCCACAAAAGACATGCGCTGACTGGAGATCCCTGGGCAAGTCTGGGGAAGCACTGACAGACTTACAAACAAGGTACAGACAAACAGAGGGGGTGGAAACATGTAACTTGCATCTATTGAGGTCCAGGTCCCCCCCTGTAAATATAGATCAATTCATTTAACTTAGAAAGGTTGGATGTAAGAAGGGCATGCCCATATGACAATCTTAAGGATATATCTTCAGAAGGGCATACCTATTTTCTGTAAGCTGGGAAGCTCGGATAAGCCAAAATTGGGGAGAGCACCAGCAAATCTAGAGAAACAACATCTACTAAGAAGATACAGTTTAAGACGGACATGACATAACTAAAAAAGAAAACGTCAGCTGGGAACCTGAGATAAGCCAAAATTAACATGTTTGTGCAATCTGTGCATGCTTTCCGATTTGTCCCATAATTGTAGCTTACATTTTCCTGAACGTCCTGAACAATGAAACGTTCATGTTTGCTTAGACCGTTTCAGGCATGTTGGTACCTGGAAAATGTAATGCTACATGTTCTAGGTCTTGCCTGGAAAACGTAAGATTACATTTTCCAGGTACCAACCTATGAAACATGTAAGTTACAATAAAAAGGTCCCCCCCCTCATGGTCATAGGGATCTTCCTTTTTGTTCAAGAAACATCTCATTTCGAAGTGTTCATGAGGTTTTGTGGACATGATGTTTGTCATTGGAAAGAGTCTAAAAGCTTTCTCTTCCATATACAGGGCTTCAAGGGTAAACCATACTCAACTCCATTATATAACAACCATTTTACTGTAGGAACTATAGGAGGTACATGGAGTGCTGAGGACTATGTTGTTTCGCTCCTTTTGTGTCTACAAGTATAGTTGCTAGTAACCTGATAAAGCGCCCACCATTTTGTGGTGAGACGTTCGAAATCGGACTAGTATTTCATCATGAGTCCTGGAGTCCTCGATGGTTGAGCTTATTGATGTAACAACTTGGAAGTTGAAAGCATGATGGCAATCATTTCTATCGGAGGTTTGGTTTATTCTGGGTAATTGTGTTTTATCACACACCCAAAGAAACAGTATACTGCCAAGTATTATACAGAAGGTATACCGACTGCATGATGTTCGCCCGACAGGAATTTCATCCAACAGGAATCGTGGATAGAGGAGTGGCAGGCGATATATTTCCATCGTGTTGCTTCGTCAGCCCAACTTGTTTGTCCCTGTAGTTGTTGTTGAACATTTCTAGAACATCAGACCTATAGCCTATATAGTTCCCTTTGCATCAGAATCAAAGCTGTTTGCTTGGAGACACTTCAGCTTAAAACGCACCAAGTTGGCCGGGTTGGCCGGCAACTTCAGTTGGTCGGCTTCCTGAGAAACCGGGTGTATACACCACGCTGGAGCGTGACATCAGGAGCGCTTCAGCTGCTGGGCATGCTCCGGGGCCCATGGCGCCCGGATGGCAGCATGGTCAGCTTCAACACAGGCATTAGCGCATGCGAGCAGGCCGGCATGGGCGGCATGTCCGGCGATCGCAGGCCCAAAGCCAAGCATGGGACATTCTAGGGATTGCAGGCAGTTGGCAACCATGTAGTATGGGTGCCCTTGCTTTGACGGTCTCTTTAATTCCCTTTCAAAGTCGTGTTGATTTCCTAGACCCTGTAATTGTGCGTGTCATTCTGAGCAAACCCAATGGAGTTTGGCTCGCTTGCAGATTCTAGATGTTTTGAGAGACATGCTTGTGGGGCAGTCAGGGATCCACGAAGAGTCTTTCACATCATTTGAGACTATAAGCCACAACATGCCATGACTTTGAACCCATTTGACCTCTGTTTTGAGAGGAAAAGACAATGTGTTGGCAAGTGTTGGCTCCAAAGCAGGGTTCTCTCAGAAATGGCTTCAATAAAGCCAAGCTGATGTTCACCTATTGCACTGATTGGGCTGCGTGAAGAGCTTGATTTAGTAGCTTCTTGTAACTAGTAGCGATGCACTTGTTGCTTGTTGGGGATGGAGATGAAACCTTCACTACTCACTAGGTTTGCTAGTGTACGAAGACTGTCAGCGGCGAAGTCACTGCTTCCTCCAGAGGCAAAGGGAATTGTCTCTTGATGAGTCAATGACAGGTTCATGGGTGTCACCAACACAGATCAAACAGATCATTCACTCCACTGAAACATTTAATTATTGTTAGCCAGTCTGTTGGGGGGGCAGTTTCTCATAGCACACAAGTGCCCTCATACTACTTGGACAACATTCATAATCTAATTACGCAAGTTCCGACTTTTGCCTGGGTTTCCCT